GGGTTCAATTCCCACCTCTACACCTTCTCCACCGACTCCCACTGATGACTGCTGTCGTTGTGTCCTTGGGCAAGACACTTAACCCCACTTTGCCCAAAGCCCCCACTGAAAGATCAAGGCTATGCTCACACTCAGAGAGCAGCCGTCCTCCTGTGGACTCACCACCTGCAGAGGGTCAGTGAGGGGCTGGTGCTATGAGACTTGGGTGGCATCTCTGACTGCCACCCCCCTGACCCAGAAATGGATTAAAGGGTAGAAAATGGATGGATGGATGGATGTTTTCTTTGATTGAAAAAAAAAAAAACTTACAAAAATACCTGTATCAACTCATGTATGTATGAATTAAAACTTGAAGAAATGACCTATGAGTCAATAAATGACGTTTTGAGGCTGAGTGAGGGTGGAGACTTTTCCGCCGGATAAATGCAAGCCAAAATTGCGACAGAGGCCAAAAAGAGTGCATCTGATAACACAAACTTTTCTGGGAGCTCAAAATAGTGTGGATATTTTCAATAGTCCCTTCAGAACTGCTTCCCTTCATTTTGGTTCTTTTCAGTGTTCTGCGTCTCCTTGTGTGCTACTCTCCTCTTGTGGTTGGTCCATTCTGTCATGGGATGAAAATCACGTGATGACCCAGGACTGCCAAAAATATAAGAATAAAATACACAAAACTCAAAAATAACAACATTCGGGATATAACAGAACTCACGACAAAAATAGACAAAAATGCAACGGACCAACAACAAGAGGAGAGGAGCACAAGGTGTAAATACACACAGGGAGACACAGAGACAGGCAATAATAAAAATAGATATGAAGTAGCTCTGAAAATAACAAAAATATCAAAATGAAACCAAGTGATAGTGATCTGAAAGTCCACATGATACTTTCCCGAACATAGAAACTCGCCGCTGCTACAAGTGCCTATCCCAGGGCCTATCTCTTGAATGGATCATACATTTGTTCTCATTTCCTTAAAATTGAGTCATGAAGCAGCATTGATTTAGTCCTTACAAATTGCATTAACTTTCTCTCTCCCGACATTCTCCCACACGTAGCCTCCACCACCACCACCACGCTCCCACCCTTCACCTCTCTCATCTCTCAGCGTATAGGCCTTCAGGTTGTAAAAATTAATCTTCATAAAAAAAAGGAGGGGAAAGAAGTTGGTCCTTTCATCTCCCTCAGTCCTCCTTCACAAAGACACAGACCTTGACGCACTCTTCTTCCTCTCACTTTTAAATTAAACTGATAAAATTCTCTTTCTAGTCGGCCTTGACAACGACCCGCGCGCTCACACACCTCTGCGCTGGACACACATCGCACATAAATAAGCAATGGAGAGAGAAGAGAGGGGCCAAATCCCAAAGACCCTCGGCAAAACTTGGAAATAAACATGAACTAGGACGGTGTGAAGGTCTTGTGTACATGGGTTTTTGAGCTGGGATTGTGTGTGCTTGGTTTTGTGGGGAACAATGTAAGATTTCAAGTTCATCCGAATGTTTGCTGGGGTAGATGTAGCCTGGATTTAACCATCCATCAACTCCCGTCTATTTTAATTCCCTAGTTGTACGTTGGGGTCTGATCCTAGTGGCTGCGGTTACCTCGGTTGAATCCCCTCCGACCAATCAGCGAGCGGGGGAGGCGGGTGTTGTAGGGAGGTGTTGGTGATGTCAAGAGTTTGCAATGTAGTTTGGCAATGGCGGCAAATGCGAAAGTAAAGGAAGCTCTTCAATCCGTTCTGGTTCGGTTCCAAATGTCAAGAAATTGAAGCCGGAGCAGGAGGAATGTTTAGCCAGTTTCATTGCTGGCAAAGATGTGGTTGCAGTACTGTAGGTGGATGAGACCTGGATGAGTCTTCTGCTGCTGGACATCTGAATTTCTCCTATGGGTATCTATCTATGTTGTTACTGACTGGCAATTTCTGAATCAATATAGATACAATGGAGTTGATGCACACCACAATCGCACTAAAAAGTATCTCGAAATGCCTACATTCTGATAAAATTTGAAGCTGAAAATGTATGAGACATTTATGTATGTTTATTTATTTGATTGAATCTACTGTCACGCCCTGCAGCTCACCCCCTCCCCTCCTGGGTGGAGTGCATGGGTGGAGTTCTGGAGCCTCTCACCTGCTCACGATTGACTATCTATCCTCAATCTTAAGCTGTGTTCTGCTGCCAGAGTGTCCGTCGATGATGGTTATCTTTCCGGTCAGCCTTTCTACACTCTCCATCACCCATGTGTTTTTTCTTCTCCGTTTTACACTAGAATCAGATTTCTGTGAATGCACTTACCTGTTCTCTCTGTGTTTTTTAGTCCGCTGCTCCGCTCCAGTCTCCGCATGTTTTTTTCTCTCGAGCTGCTTGGATCCAGACCGTGCCAGCCTTCTAAGATTACGCTCTATTCTAAACCCCTGGATCCCATTCCATTGTGCCATGACATCTACACTTCTAAAAGCTGTTAATGGGATGTACTACTTGTGTTCGGCTGTTGCGCAGGTGGATAATGGGCGTCCGAATGGTCTGAATTAGGGAATTGTCTTGCAAATTAAATTAAATGGTATAGAAAGTAGATTGAGTGTGTTGATTTGTTCGTTCTCATATGTAGACAGGAACTACCAGCTCAGGTCACACAATCACAGTTCAGTGAGAACCACTTTTTTGATTCATAGTTTCCAACCATTTAGGTACCAGTTTTTCAGAAATGTTATATGGTACAAAGAAAAAGTGCAGGCCTGAAAATGTTTGCAGAACAAGTAAAGAAAGTCTCCTGTATCCATTCTGGCGCCTAAAGGGTTGATCTGCATAATGTTTTGCAATAAAAACACATCTGAATAAGTACCAGATATAAGCAACAGAACAATCTTTCAGAAACTCTCGACACTCCATTGCCTTCACTTCAGCCGTGCAGGCAGGGGTCAGGTCAGGTTGGCAATGATCGGCTTCAGCAAAGATATTTATCTCATCATAAATGTAGCATCACCGCCTCACCCTCTGGATGCAAAAGCGAAACACATTTCAGCGGCAAGAGATTCCCCCAGCCTCCTCACCCGCTGCGGCTTCTCCGACTCAAATTAAAACGGCAATAAGTAACTCAAACTCCCATCAGCCATCAGCACTGGAGGTTGGAGACGCCTGGATGACACACACACACACACACACACACACACACACACACACACACACACACACACACACACACACACACACACACACACACACACACACACACACACACACACACACACACACACACACACACAGCGTCTCCAGCCATCTGCTAAACTTATCAAACCTCTCTCTTTTCGCTCTCCCTCTGTCTCAGTCGCATAGAAACAAGGGTAAATACACCAGCAGCAAACAATACCCCTCTGTCTGCTTTCTTTTCCCCTGCCTTCTGCCGTTCCATTTCTCTTGCTCTTGAAAATCTTTATCGTTTTTTTTCTTTTTCTCTTGGTTCCTCTTTGTCTCCGTCCGTGTGTTTTTGGCCGCTCCAGTCACTCACCCCGAAGGCGACTCAGCAAATCAAGCCGCTAAATTAAATTGAATTTCTGTTTCGATATATATATATAAAGGGGGAGAGTTAGTGCTTTTTGACGAATGGAACATATAAAGCTTACATATGACTATTTGATAAGCTCTTGGGCAGTATGTGGAAGAATGGGCACGTACTGTATGGATTTGTAATGCGTGTGGGAATGAGGAAACCTGAGGATGGTCTAGTTCAAAAGCATTGGCCGTTATAGAGCACCTTCAACAAGACTTTAATATGTATTTTTCAGATATGTTATATATTTAGAATTCGTTCCATGTTGATATGCAATTTTCTGAAAAAGACAGTTTTTATAATATCTTTAATTGAAAAGTCTAAGTCAGGCATGTCAAACCCAGGCTCGAGGGCTAAATCCATTTTTAGTGGCCGCTAAATGATTTCAATAATAATTATCAACTTGCAGCAATGATGGTGATGGGCAACCAAGGCTTAATAAGTTTTGTTATTTATTATAAAGTTTTAACCCAATAAACACAGTTAAATATAAAGCAATGAACAAATGTTATATTTGGTCCAGTTTAGGTTTAATCTCAGACAATAAATACGTTTTGTTTTTAGAATAATCAACCAGACAATAACAGTGAAACTCAAGTCACATAAAGCCGGGCGGCAGTAGCTCAGTTGGTAGAGCGTTTGCCTTTAAGCCAGAAGGTTGTGGGTTCAAGCCCCGCTCAAGACTTTCACCATCAACTCCCACTGACTACTGTCGTTGTGTCCTTGGCAAGACACTTAATCTCTGAGAACACCAGCCACAGTGGCGCAGTTTGAAGTGCCAAACTGCCGTTGTGTCCTCAGGCAAGACACTTCACCCCCATTGCCTAGAATGAGTCTGGTGTGTGTATGAATGGTTGGTGGTGGTCGGAGGGGCCGATGGCGCATACTGGTTGCCTCACTTCTGTCAGTGTGCCCCAGGGCAGCTGTGGCTACAGTAGTAGTTCATCACCACCGTGTATGGAGTGAATGAATAATGACATGTGAAGTGTCTTTGAGTGTCCAAAAAAAGCACTATATAAAACCGATGCATTGTTATAAAAATAGTGTCAAAAAATCTTAAAAACTATTAAAGAAACGGAAATCTCATCTATCCTTTCGGCCCTTCACCAGTTCCTATTCTTTTTATTCAGCCCCTGACCCCAATGAGTTCAACACCCCTGGTCTAAGCTAATGCTAAAAGTATATATTAGCAAGAGTTTCATCGTGTTTGTCCAGAGCAAGGAGAACTCCAAAGTGTCCTTCTCTAACTTCTTCCCATCGTTACTCACCGATCATAACAGAGGAATACAAATATCTGGGACACTTCATCTCTGCTGACTTGTCTGATGACAGAGACATTTATAGACAGTGCCGAATGCTTTATGGACAAGTCAGTATGTTGGTTGGGAAGTTTGGAGTATGCTCACCTGTGGTGACGATACACTTGGAGAAACTATAAAAATAGCAGCATGCACAGACAGAACGTGGTCTACACTGACGGCATGAGGAGGCTGCTGGGGGTCCCACGGTGAGGCTGCTGGGGGTCCCACGGTGAGGCCGCTGGGGGTCCCACGGTGAGGCCGCTGGGGGTCCCACGGTGAGGCCGCTGGGGGTCCCACGGTGAAGCAGCGCGAGTCAAATGTTTGTGGATGTGAGCAATCCCACTATGGTTCCCACCTGTCCTTCAGCGTCGTCATAACTATGGTTGTTCCGGTCCCGACTTTGGTTCCATACCTTTTTGAGTATACGGACTCACTGGCATCGGAGCCTTCGTAGAGTCTGATACATTGTTTTTTATCTGTTCCGGTTTGTCTTATTTTTTATTTGATTTTCTAGTTTATCGTGTGTCCAAAATAAAGCCTAATAATAATGATACAAATAATAATTTTCAATAATAATAATCCAAGCCGTTTTGTTTAAAAAATCTACATCATTCATCCTTTGGTTAAAATACCCTTTTAATGTAAAAAGAAATGCCTGACCAGCTGTCTTCTTTGTGTATAACTGGCACACTGAGCAAAATTAGTTTTAATCACTAACCAACATTTACGTGTATAACTGATTCCTGCAAACCATTTTAACAATGTGGCGATTTTTATTTTTCATTATAATTAGGGAGTTTTGAAGTGCACGTGAATGTGGAAGTCTGGACTGCAGCCTTTTTCAGATAAAATGAATAGAGAGTTTGTGTTTAGGTTTAGCTCTTAGACCCCAAAGCAGAGACTGATAAAGAAGCAAGTTTAAAGAGTTTATTCCAAACAGTCTTGGAGGCAGGCAGTGGTGGCAGGCAGGGAACAGGCTGACTGGAACACAAGCTCTGGAGATATCTAGACACACAGGAAAAAACAGGTAAGTATCCAGGTAAGTAACTTCGACTTGACAAAACCAGCTGCTGCAACGCTACCGAGCACGATGGAATAATCTGGCAGTTTGGTGCTGAGAAATCCTGATATTTATACTGGTCTTGATTAGTAGTGAAGGGCAGGTGTTGAGACTCAGCACCAGTAGCCACGCCTCTGCCACACACTGCTCTGCTGCAACAGAAAACACAGGGGGAAGGGGAACAGAACAAAAACACAAAATCATAACAGTTTGTGCCACATAAAGACTTATACTATCACGGCACTTTGTCATGTGTTACTCTAAAACTTTAGTTATAGCCATTCGTTTACCTTTAGAAAACACATTGGCATAATAATAATAGTAATAATAATGCATCAGTTTGATACAGCACTTTTTTCTGGACACGGAGCTTCACATGTCATTATTCTTTCACTGCTGCCCTGGGGCACACTGGCAGAAGCGAGGCAACCAGTATGTGCCACCGGCCCCTCTGACCACCACCAACCATTCACACACACACCAGACTCATTCTAGACAATGTGGGTGAAGTGTCTTGCCTAAGGACACAACAGCAGTTTGGCACTCTACATCCACAGTCGTCCCACTGTGGCATCATTTGTTCCCAGAGGTCTCCCATCACAGTACTAACCAGGCCCAACCCTGCACAGCTTTGGAGATCTGACAGAATCTGGCTTTTACATGTAAGAATATGTGTAAGCTCTCAGTCGTACAGGGATTAGTCAAAGCAAAGGTTTCTCATCAATCATCTGTACTTCTTAGCAGGTTTTGCTTACGTTTTGTCCTTCATCTAAAGGACTTCTTCAAGGGAATGAAATCTCTATCTGTAGGTAGAAAATTATATAGGAAAAAAAAACAATACTTGAATAATGAAACGTGACCTTTTTGTTTTTCTACATTCCATCACATTGTTCTCACCGTTTTACCAGTGACTTTCAGAAAACAATTGTCAAACAGAAATACTGTATTGTGCCGTGTCAATATCATATTCAATTTCATTTGGATTATCAATGAGAATGAAGTGCCTTTCTCTCCGTGAGGTTCACAGCACGGTTTGGGTCGAATCCTATACGGCGCATGTTTGCTTTGACAGGCTTTGGTTAAGGTTCATAAATAAGACAGAAGCTCATATCAGGAGCTAACAGCATGGGCCACGTTTGGATGCAGCTGTAAAGTGTTACTGGCAGCGTGACAATATAGGGACATGAGATTTGTGGTGTGGGGTCTGGTATGTGCACCCCCATGCTCATGAAAACACTTTTATGACAGTGACACACAGTATCTGCAGTGAAACCAGGGCACATACAGTACACAGCTCATCAACGAGGGTGTAGCACAGATAACACAAATAATACACAACGTGGAGGCTGTGAAATGCATGTTTAATGTAGCAACAAGGGCAAAGTAAACCTGTGCAGCGCTGTTTCTCAATTGGATAAGATTAGAATTTACTTCGGTTACTATAGGTTACTCTAAATCCCTGATGCACCTTTTCTCTTTGGCTTTTAATACCAGGTAGAAAGAGACAAGTTTTCGGTTTTTATTTGTGTCTGTCTGTACAGCACTTTGGTAAGCCTAGGCTGTTTTATTTGTGCTCTACATAAAAAGATTTGATTGATTGATTGATAGATAGGGCACACTACATACAGTATTTCTCACTGTTGTTTCATTGCCTGAAATCCAATTGGTTTTATTTATCAAAGAAAGTGTCACGTGAAGCAGGGGAGACATCAAAGTTGCCAGTATCAGGTTCCAAACTTTACTCGAGGGAAATTCCTTTGCTGTATTTGACACAACACTGTCAGAAAGAGTCAGGTAAAGCAGAAAAGAGCTAGACCCAAGCCCGGTGATCCAAGATGGCGTCCTATTCAAATGATTGGCTTACGTATGCTCAGTAGCACATGAGACATAGATGCGGACGGAAATATTAGCGGAACTCGCCCATATTAAGGCATCGTCTGGTCCTCCTGGTTCTGCGTAATGGACGAGCTCCCATGATGCTTTGCGCCAAATACGAGTGCGTGGCTCTCATGCACGTGCACAGAGGGGCTCGGCCGAGTTCTGACCAATCGGAGCTGCTGATTAGAGTGGAGCTAGCGCGGGAGACGATCAAGCAGAGTTTGTTTCACTTAAGTGTAAATTTATAGAAAACCGAAGGATTTTACAAGAAAAAAATTCCAGGATGACAAGGGACACTAAAATCCCCACAAAATCTGACCTTTATGAAAGCTGTAGGTTCTCTGTCAGGTTCTCTGTCAGCTGAGGTTGAGCTGTTTTAGCTTACATTGAGTTCTATGGAGTTCCCGCATTAATTTAAGCTGCAGTACCACGGACACCCCCTGTGCCCGTTAGTGTGACAGCTACAGTATAAGCTAGTAACAGCCACTTATTATAATAGATCCATGGCTAGACCTCACTCTTCATCAGGACCATCTTAGCCTCAAGAGAATAGACTATTACACAGACTGGCCTGGTCCAGCTTGGGGAGGCAAACCTGGGACCACCGTACAGTCTGTTATAAATTCTCTGCATGCTTGTTGTATTGAGCTCAGGGAGTTGGCAGGCTTTGGGTTTGTGAACAGGAGGTGTCGGCATGATGGCACCACTCAGCCCTGCAGCCTATTGTCTACAGGCTGTTTGGTGTGGCTCTCGCTGCTGTGTATGAAGGACAGTCTCGTTGATTTTGGTGTATATGATGAGAGCGCCATCACAATCGGGCACATGTACGGACACAGCTGTATCTGGGGACGTCGCTACAACAAGGAAAAACTGCAAGCTTACTGCCTGTGCTATAGCCTCATCTCAATCTCTGTATGTCGAGCTGTTACTGTGACACATGTAGTCTGAGGGTTTGGAAGATTTGCTGCTGGTCACGCTGCCAAAATGGAGTCCCTAATAATTTTAGTCACATGGGGTTCGAAGCTCAATTAGAGCAGTACAAGAAAAGCTGCACTTTTTCGATTGGTATAAGGGTGGCCATGGCGCTCTGTACTTCGGGTCAAAAGTTAGACTCAAAATACAAATATTAGATTAGATTATAAATGTATTCCAAAACCAGCATTAACATAATTTGACGAACAGAATGATAAGATATATTGCAATAGACAAGGTTTAGAAAAGTGGTTGGCTGAAGCAAACACTAGTATATTTCCAACCTCCTCCTTCGTCAATCAGAAAGGATATAAAGACACACAGCAACACACAAATAAGCACACACACTGTCCCAACCACTCTCCAACCACCCACCCCTCTCCCAACAACGCCCAGGGCCTCACACACTCACCTCCAAGTGTTTCTGCCGTAATTATATTATTAATTTTTAACCTGTGTTTCTCTGAATAAACAAACAAGCCTCGAATATAATATATCTGTAAAGTTCACGGTTTCCAATGACGATTCTGTAGTTCAGTGTTCTTGTCTTTTTGAGCCATGGCACACCTTTTGAAACGCTGCAGCCCTTATTAGTAAGTAAGTAAGTAATCTTTATTTATATACCGCCTTTCACAGACCAGAGTCACAAACTCTCTGGTCTGTGAAAGGCGGTATATAAATAAAGCTTACTTACTTACTTACTTACTTACAAAGCGGTTTACAGTTGTTATTTTTTTGGCATTTGTCCTCTCACTCCACACAGAGATGGGAGCGGGGTTATTCGTATTCAGATTGCCATTTGCAGTAGAACCATAGTGGAATACATCCGCAAAAGTCCCCAGTGTGCACAAGACAAGTACATAAATAAAACAAGGTTCCATCCATCCATCCATTTTCTTCCCCTTAATCCATTTCTGGGTCGGGGGGGTGGCAGTCAGAGCTGCACCCAGTACACAGAGCACCAGCCCCTCACTGATCCTCCTGCAGGTGGTGAGTCCACAGGAGCTGAGATCTTTCAGTGGGAGCTTCAGGCAAAGTGGGGTTAAGTGTCTTGCCCAAGGACACAACGGCAGCAGTCATCAGTGGGAGTCGTGAAGTAGGTCTTACGGTGGGCTCGAACCCACGACCTTCAGGCTCAAAGGCCAATGCTCTACCAACTGAGCTACTGTCGCCAAGGTTAATAAAACAAGGTTAAGAATACATAAAACAGGAAAGAATGGACCCTGGGATTGCAATGACAGAAACGTTATTTGATGGGATAGAAGTCCGTCTGATCCCCTTATCATCCACAATTAACATGTATTGCTTAAGCTTGTGTATTCAATGCTAAAAAAAATACTTCTCACTGTTCTCAGGTCAAATATTTCTTATGTGAATAATTAATTACCAAGCCTCTAATTAATTAGATTTAAAAAAAATTATCGAGTCCCAGCCCTTCTTTCTATCTAATCCTCTGGTGATATTGTATCATTTCCAAAACACACAAAACAACATCTCTAAGAAAATACCTGCCATAGCACACGGGTCTCCGTTGATAACTGTACACTATATAGAGGACCTGCACAACACCATAGAGGACTAGATGCTGGCCTTGCCTCCAGCTCTCAACCCGCACATGCATCTGAGTGTGTGTGTGTGTTTGTGTGCACGTGTATGCATGTGTGTGTCTATGATGGATGTCTGAGGTGAGCAGGTTAATCTCTCACTAATGTAGATGAATTGTCCGGAGCCCATGTTACAGCGAACACACCCACGCTCAGATGGATCACACTGAATGCTAAGGAGGAGGGAGACACACACTTAGCAGGTAAATTGTCAGGTCACTGTGTAAAGAGCACTGACTGGACAAAGGTGAAGGTGGGGGGGACGGCGGAAAGCTGTGTTTGCATGTCTTTGTTGCAGGAAGACCCAGGCCACACAAACACAAAATAATAATGAATAATGACTTTGAACCATAATAACCTCACAAGGACAAGTGTTAGCATAATGTTAAGCTGCGGGATACTGTACATCATTAGCATAGAAAATCATAACGATATTGAGACATTTAAACAGTTGGCAACGTGGCGCTCGAGCTTCACACATCAAGAAGGTTCTGGGTTTGATTCCGCCGTTCTTTCCCTTATAGACTGTATTTTTAGGAGAGGACTGACGAGTGCTGACGTCACCCATAGAGTTAGATTTAATGCGGAAGAGGCTGATTAGGGATAGCTCGAACAGACTAGTTGAGCGTCAAAGTGGAGCCAAAATTATGTAAAACATTTTTGGGGCAACGGCCGAGTTACCCAGCACCAATCGGTAGCGACACCGGTCTGTCCTCACTTCCGCTACTCGCTGCTGAAGCTGAATTCAGACACAGAAGGCTCTCGATTGGTAAGTTTTTAGGGCTCATATCTGGGTTTTATTCTAATATAAATGTCATGATCACATAGAAGGCTACACCATGGATTTTTAAAACCCAAAATGGTGAGAGCAACACATTACTGATATTCTGTCTATGTTTCCTTCATCACTAAAAGCATGTACAATAGTCCCGGCAAACTCCTGCTTCCTTTATCGAGTGTGGAGTGAGAGGAAAAAGACCCACATAAAATATAAAATAGCTATATAAATAAACTATTCTTTGATTCTTGGTCAAATATTTATGGCACTGTCTTTACCAAACTGTCCGTCCTTCAAAGACTAACTTGTATTTGATCCTTGTGTTGAACGTGGCTCGTGCAAACAGCTGTTATAGAGTGATACAGAGCGATACAGAGCGATACAGAGCGACACAGAGCGATACAGAGCGATACAGAGCGAGACAGAGCGATACAGAGCGACACAGAGCGACACAGAGCGAGACAGAGCGACACAGAGCGAGACAGAGCGACACAGAGCGAGACAGAGCGAGACAGAGCGACACAGAGCGAGACAGAGCGATACAGAGCGACACAGAGCGAGACAGAGCGACACAGAGCGAGACAGAGCGACACAGAGCGACACAGAGCGACACAGAGCGAGACAGAGCGATACAGAGCGACACAGAGCGACACAGAGCGAGACAGAGCGACACAGAGCGAGACAGAGCGACACAGAGCGAGACAGAGCGAGACAGAGCGACACAGAGCGAGACAGAGCGATACAGAGCGACACAGAGCGAGACAGAGCGACACAGAGCGAGACAGAGCGACACAGAGCGACACAGAGCGACACAGAGCGAGACAGAGCGAGACAGAGCGACACAAAGCGATACAGAGCGACACAGAGCGAGACAGAGCGACACAGAGCGACACAGAGCGAGACAGAGCGAGACAGAACGATACAGAGCGACACAGAGCGCTACAGAGCGAGACAGAGGGACACAGAGCGAGACAGAGCGATACAGAGCGAGATAGAGCGATACAGAGCGACACAGAGCGAGACAGAGCGAGACAGAGCGAGACAGAGCGAGACAGAGCGACAGAGAGCGACACAGAGCGACAGAGAGCGACACAGAGCGCTACAGAGCGAGACAGAGCGACACAGAGCGACACAGAGCGAGACAGAGCGATACAGAGCGAGACAGAGCGATACAGAGCGACACAGAGCGAGACAGAGCGAGACAGAGCGACACAGAGCGCTACAGAGCGAGACAGAGCGACACAGAGCGACACAGAGCGACACAGAGCGACACAGAGCGACACAGAGCGACACAGAGCGAGACAGAGCGACACAGAGCGCTACAGAGCGAGACAGAGCGACACAGAGCGACACAGAGCGACACAGAGCAAGACAGAGCGATACAGAGCGACACAGAGCGAGACAGAGCGACACAGAGCGACACAGAGCGACACAGAGCGAGACAGAGCGAGACAGAGCGATACAGAGCGAGACAGAGCGACACAGAGCGACACAGAGCGAGACAGAGCGACACAGAGCGAGACAGAGCGACACAGAGCGACACAGAGCGAGACAGAGCGACACAGAGCGAGACAGAGCGAGACAGAGCGACACAGAGCGACACAGAGCGAGACAGAGCGACACAGAGCGAGACAGAGCGACACAGAGCGAGACAGAGCGACACAGAGCGAGACAGAGCGACACAGAGCGAGACAGAGCGACACAGAGCGACACAGAGCGAGACAGAGCGACACAGAGCGAGACAGAGCGACACAGAGCGACACAGAGCGAGACAGAGCGAGACAGAGCGACACAGAGCGATACAGAGCGACACAGAGCGAGACAGAGCGAGACAGAGCGAGACAGAGCGACACAGAGCGACACAGAGCGAGACAGAGCGAGACAGAACGATACAGAGCGACACAGAGCGCTACAGAGCGAGACAGAGGGACACAGAGCGAGACAGAGCGATACAGAGCAAGACAGAGCGAGACAGAGCGATACAGAGCGAGACAGAGCGAGACAGAGCGAGACAGAGCGACAGAGAGCGACACAGAGCGACAGAGAGCGACACAGAGCGCTACAGAGCGAGACAGAGCGACACAGAGCGACACAGAGCGAGACAGAGCGATACAGAGCGAGACAGAGCGATACAGAGCGAGACAGAGCGATACAGAGCGAGACAGAGCGATACAGAGCGACACAGAGCGAGACAGAGCGACACAGAGCGCTACAGAGCGAGACAGAGCGACACAGAGCGACACAGAGCGACACAGAGCGACACAGAGCGACACAGAGCGAGACAGAGCGACACAGAGCGCTACAGAGCGAGACAGAGCGACACAGAGCGACACAGAGCAAGACAGAGCGATACAGAGCGACACAGAGCGACACAGAGCGATACAGAGCGACACAGAGCGACACAGAGCGAGACAGAGCGATACAGAGCGAGACAGAGCGACACAGAGCGAGACAGAGCGAGACAGAGCGAGACAGAGCGACACAGAGCGACACAGAGCGAGACAGAGCGAGACAGAACGATACAGAGCGACACAGAGCGCTACAGAGCGAGACAGAGGGACACAGAGCGAGACAGAGCGATACAGAGCAAGACAGAGCGAGACAGAGCGATACAGAGCGAGACAGAGCGAGACAGAGCGAGACAGAGCGACAGAGAGCGACACAGAGCGACAGAGAGCGACACAGAGCGCTACAGAGCGAGACAGAGCGACACAGAGCGACACAGAGCGAGACAGAGCGATACAGAGCGAGACAGAGCGATACAGAGCGAGACAGAGCGATACAGAGCGAGACAGAGCGATACAGAGCGACACAGAGCGAGACAGAGCGACACAGAGCGCTACAGAGCGAGACAGAGCGACACAGAGCGACACAGAGCGACACAGAGCGACACAGAGCGACACAGAGCGAGACAGAGCGACACAGAGCGCTACAGAGCGAGACAGAGCGACACAGAGCGACACAGAGCAAGACAGAGCGATACAGAGCGACACAGAGCGACACAGAGCGACACAGAGCGAGACAGAGCGACACAGAGCGACACAGAGCGAGACAGAGCGATACAGAGCGAGACAGAGCGACACAGAGCGACACAGAGCGAGACAGAGCGAGACAGAGCGACACAGAGCGACACAGAGCGACACAGAGCGACACAGAGCGATACAGAGCAATACAGAGCGACACAGAGCGACACAGAGCGATACAGAGCAATACAGAGTGCTATAGAGTGACACAGAGTGATACAGAGTGATTGAACATCATCTAAACTTCATTGTGGCGTAGAATATTTTTACAGACACTGTTAAACCAAGGTGAGAGACGCCTCGCTGAACCCTCAAGGCCTGGACTGAACCGAACCCGTCGCAGTCTCACATCATCATTTTTGTCTCTGCTCGTGAATGTACGACCACGGCCACCGCACGGAAAACGAAGAAACAATGGATGCACTATTTCAATGCAGGGGTCTACTTAATTGGGGCAAACAAAGGAAGATTAAGATGCTCATTGAATGCACATCGGTTACATAACTGTTTAGAATGAATACTTCATCTGAAGTAGAAAAAACAGTCTTTATGTATTTGGTGTTTACAGCAACAGTATTTCTGTTTGATGACTTGGAGCCATTTCTAATGAGGCAGAATATAATCGTAAAGCTAATTTAGGCTGAAAATGGTAATAAAGCATAATAACTTAAAGGTATAGGAGAATTTCTACTTGTGGGTGGATCATCAAGACTATTGGTCCCAATTGTCAATAATTCTGGTGATATGTGCTCGTCCAATAAGACCAGGGAGATTTGGGAGTTTGACCAAATAATTGGGAAAATCCTCTTATATATTTTTAACTTTTAGTAAATACAAACTGTCTTGCACATTACCATCAAAATCAGCCATTAAGGAGCACACAACAATGAATGAATATTTATCTATTATTGAAACAAGTTGGTGGAATGTGTTCCCGGTTTAGCAGGAATGCTCAGCTCAACTGAACTGTGTAAATACAAAGACACACAAAAACAAACATCCATAAACAACAGGGACGTTTTCCATTAGGGATTGGCTGAGGGACCGAATGTCAATCTGGGCCTGTAAGTAAGTAAGTAAGTAAGGCCTGTAGCCCCCCCCTGAGGGGAGGAGTGGGGATAAATGATGGGCTGGGTGTGTGTGTGGCCGGATGTGTGTGTCTGAGGTGATTCTGTGTGTGCTCGTGTGTGCGATGCGTCCATTGTAGAGTGTGTCTAGCGATGGAAGTGCGTGACCAGAGATCTTGGATGCTTTGTTAATTATGCGTTGGTTGGGAGATTGTTGCATCAACATTACCATACCAGACTATTATTGGCGAGGTTAAAATTCTTTTAAAATGAAATTAAATCAAAATAGATTTCTGCCTGTTTTTCTCTCTCTCTGTCACCACCAGAGGGAGCAAGAGAATTCAGAGTGCATAGTCTTTTTCCCCCAAATGTAAAAATGACCGGTGGAGACCCATCTAGAAAATTCAGCTGAGAAATTACCAAAACTTACCAACTCTTTTGTTAACTATGACTGTGATGTCATAGTGATGTCATAAAGGTCCAATGACATCACACGGCCACAGCACTGAGACTGTGGATGTGTAGAACTGTACGAGGATATTGTGTCTGACTCTGAACTTTGTAAGTGTAGTTTTTTTGTTTGCTTTAGGGACACAGTCGTAAGTGAAAGGTCCATGTTGTATCAGTATAAAACATCAAACAGCAGAACTACACTACATAAACTAACGACTCATTTGGAGGTTGATAAGTTTGTTGATTATATTTCAACTCACAAACTCTACAGACTCTCTCTCAAGTAATTACTCAGGTCTAATTGACTGCAGTCAGAACGAATGGGCAGATGAAGTCTTGATGCCAGATGTTGAGACTGAGCGACCCGAGAGTGAATCTGCAATTTCATTAAAAGATTACGAGTTCTTTCTGTTAGCTTACGGTTTCATATTTATTTGTATATTCTTCATCAAACAATGTACAGATCCATGGAGAGACGACAGAAGAAATTTATACAGGTTTTTATGAGAGATAAGCAGTTATTTGGGCGGCACGGTGGCTGAGTGGATAGCACTTTCGCTTCTCAGCAAGAAGGTCCTGCTTTCGAATCCTGGTCGGAGTGGAGTTTGCATGTTCTCCCTGTGTCTGCATAGGTTTCCTCTGGGTGTTCCGGTTTCCCCTACCACTAAAAAAAACATGTGCCTCCTGTACTGGCCCCCGCTTCCATCTCTATGTGGAGAGAGAGACAAATGCTCACAATTGTAAAGCGCTTTGTGACTCTGGTTTGTGAAAGGCAGTATATAATAAAAGATTACTTACTATTGATGAAAAATTGTATTATCCAGTGTAAGAATAGTAGTCTGTCCTCCTGTGTTAATCTATGTAAAGATCTGTTAGCTTTGTCAAATGTGCTAAATTCAAATGATTAATTATATTCAATTCAATAAAAAATGTCTTGTATTGCCCTAAATCACAAGAACTAAAGAAATGCAATGATAGAAAACACACAGAGCTATCGGTTCATAAGAGTCAGAGACCAATGTCCATAAACGGTGCTGAATGATGAGTGTCCTGGGTCATCACCACTGTAATGGGAAAAAATAATACTTTCTATGTTTGCATTTGCCCCAATCATGGTCTGTATTTTACACATTCAATCATTCTTTGGTCCCTGTCTGTAGAAAACATCCTTCCTGCTCCAAATCGAGGCAACAAGAAATCAGCCACAAGAGTAAAACTAAGAAAGGCTCTTTTCAATTTAACAAAAATATGATGTTTTTTTCATTTTAGCAAAGCAGGGATCAATGCTGTGGGACCTCAGGGAACACCCGGTGCCACAGGTCCCGCAACCAATGCATTATGACGACTATTTGACATGATTGTTATCCTATATTTTCCATCAAAGACATGACAAATACAATACAATAAATTGAGAAAAATCTGCTACTTCTAAAAAAAGACTTTCTCTAACCTCTGTCTCAGCTTACATTCAGCATTTCTTTTGCGGTAACACTCAAACTCAGGAAAGGTCAGAGAAATCTCCTGGACCAAAGCCGCTCTGCGCTCATCCCGCTGGCAGCTGTCCACACCTCGCAGTCGGATCACGCTGGATTTGTAATGTTGAGTCCTTCACAAACGCCCTGCAGAACTGGCTGAGTCCATTCCACTGCCTCCATGGGCCGTCCCATCAGGGTCAAGTGTATCTCAGCAAGACTAGAAACCGATCCAGGCCAATAATGCTTTAGGTAATTGTGCAGAATAAACAGAAATAGGTGTGGAAACCACCAGGAGTAGATTGAAACTGGCCTTGTGCAAAAGAATTCATGTATAGTATAGCATCTGGATGTACATTATTTATAGTGGTTTGTCATGTGGTGCAGTGTGATGACGAGGATAGAAGGAATCAGGAAGTACAGTGCTCGCTTAACACCAGGGTCGGCACTAGATCATATACGGAATGGGGACGGAAGCGGAAGTAATAATCCTACTTTCGAATTAGTTTTGGACTATAATAAGTCATTAAGTGGTGACTGGTTAAGTTGTAGTTGTCTGAGTAAGATGGTTAATGTTAGGATTAAGGGTTATTCTATGGGAATGGCTAGTTCAATTTAGGCATGGATCTATTAGTTTAGGTGAGCCATTCCCAAAGTCAGAAACACTGGGGCCCCATTTGACAGGTCTGCACGGCCCCCCGAAATACTAACCAAGAAGACAACGTTAAAAATAGGCTCTTCTCGTTATTTTATTTGGGGGATATAGCCTCTGCTACAAACGTGTAGATGACCATCCCCACTTTGTAATACACAAATGATTTCAATTTGATGATTCAAGTCAAACAATTAACACAAATATTGTAATATTACAAACAAAATATTGTTAATTTAACATACAATAATTATATACAACATTTTTATGACCTCTCGCGGCCCCCTGCAGTACAAGACCCCACTTTAGGAGACACTGGTTTGGGTAGTTGTTTATATTTATTCCCGCTTCTGTCCCGATTCTGTATATGATCTAGTGCCAACCTCAACACCAGAACTCCCAAAAGCAGTCAATTATACAGCTTTTTGTTTTGGAAGTGTAATTACTCTGCTTTTGTAAGACTTTAATCTGAATAACTTTAGTCCTAACAAAGGCTTGCAGGCCCTGTAAGGCTAACAGTAGCCATTGTAAAGTAGCCATTGAGGCACTTTGATTGTAATGTTTTGTTTATATAGCGCATTTTACAGACCAAGATCACCCAAAGAGCTTTACAATTGTTCAGAGTTCATGTATCATCCAGCAGACTTCAGCTTCACCAATATAGTCACAGTATACCTCTTTGTAAGGCTCAGAACATTTGGAATCCAATCGTTACCTGTATTTGCATGTACTGACAATAGTTTTTTGAATATGTAACAAGATCCAATATTCTTGGGTTTCATTAAACTGGCCAGTAGGGGGCGAATGAGCAGAGGTGGGACAACTCAGTTTGGTTCCCATTGAAAACCAGGTAAAGTCTGTTTTGGAGTCAAAGGCAAGGCAAGGCAAGGCAAGGCAAGTTTATTTGTATAGCACAATTCATACACAAGGCAACTCAAAGTGCTGAACAAGATAGCATTAAAATCATAAATAATCACAGAACATTAAAACGAAAGATAAAAATATAAAAACCCTCAGTTGTATGCACAGCTAAACAGCACCGTTTTTAACTTGGTTTTAAACATTGTCAGAGAGGAGGCCTGTCTCACATCTTCAGGAAGATTGTTCCAGATTTTAGCAGCATGAATCTGAAAAGCAGCCTCCCCATGTTTAGTCCTGACTCTGGGCACTAACAGGAGTCCAGTCCCTGTGCTCCTCAGAGTCCGGGCTGGTTCATATGGGACTAACATGTCACTAATATATTTTGGTGCGAGGCCATGGAGAGACTTGTACACAAGCAGAGCTGTTTTAAAGTCTATTCTCTGAGCCACAGGAAGCCAGTGCAGAGACCTGAGGACTGGACTAATGTGGTCGTACTTCCTGGTTCTAGTCAGGACTCGAGCTGCTGCATTTTGAATGTACTGCACCTGTTTTACAGCCTGTTTGGACAGACCTGTGAGCAGGCCATTGCAGTAGTCTAACCTACTGGAGACAAATGCATGGATAAGAATCTCCAAGTCTGCTTTAGACACTATGTTTTTGATCCTGGCAATGTTTTTTAGATGGTAAAAAGCTGCTGATGTT